AATATATTTATATTTAAAAATAGATTCCATATTTAAGTGAATGATAAATGCTGAGTTTTAGAGAATTTACCGCTTGACCGATAATTACCCTGTAATTGTGAGATTGCATGAATTTTATTTGAACACTTAGTGATTAAATTGAAGAGCTCTAGCAAAATGCATTTCGCCCACTACTCATCGTAATGAGGTCTTATCGCCGGCGTACAGGGTATTGATTTAGCGAATTTCATCACAGGCGCATCAGCGATAAGTCGCCTGGAGTCCATATATAAATATTACATGGAAGACCACGATTCAGTCGTTTGTGCATCGTAGCGTGGATCGGTCGACTACAACCTGAGAAAATCGTGTAGTGCAGCAAGTGAATTGAAAATGGTGTGTAAATAAAGTAAACCTGAACAAAATTAATCAAACAAATTGACTGCCCCACGGCAAAGTGCAGCAGACCAATAAAAAGTATTTAAAACTAACATTTATTAGTTGAATACAATGTTTAACAAAAGGCTGCATACTGTAATAGAATTTAATATTAATATTGATATTGTAAAAGGCCATAGACATGCGAGTGAATTATTAAACACACGTGATAAGGAAAATGCAGCGTAATCGCCAGACAATAGCTAGCACTGAAAAATCCAACTGCCTGAGTAGTTGTCGACATTGAACAGGCTTCACATTAAGTTGTAGAAAGATAAGTCTTGCAGCTACATTAATAACAATATCCATTTGATCTACAGCAACCGAAGAGCGTCTTGAAAGTCCTCCTGCTGGGCCTAGTTGCCCTGCAGAACATGGGAATCGGAGCTGGTTACCGTATTCTGGCTGCCTTCTTCTTTCCTGGCAAAAGTCACTTTATGATAACCGACGCGATTATCAGAGAATTAGTACATAGGGGACATGAGGTGACCTTCATTACGCCATTCTCATTGACCAAGGAGAACCTGGGTGCGAACTACACCGAGGTTCTAATACCGCAATACAATATATGGGGCGAAAGTAAGTCTAATTAAAGTAGTTATAGCCAACTTTGAAGCAAATCCTACTTCTCAGTTATGGACCTAACCAGTGCCAAGTCAGCGCTGGATATGACAGACATCAGCACTATCACATTCCTCAGGGTGGCCTACAGAATGGGGTTGAGCAGCACGAACTTTGCATTTGAGCAGAAGGAAGTTCAGAGCCTAATCACTGCGAAAGACAAGGTGGGGAAATATGATTTACTTCTGGCTGAACAGTTCTTCAATGAGGGTGCCCTCATCCTGGGTCACCTCTATCAAATTCCAATTATAACCGTCACAACCTTCGGCTACTCCAACTACCTCAGCTCCCTAACGGGCATCATCAACCCGTGGTCTTATGTGGCTCACGGCTGGAAGCCCTATACAAACCGCATGTCGCTCATGGAACGTATTGACAGCGTTTTCTGTTCGTTTACGGAGGAAATTATGCGGTACTTCTGGTATTATCCTACACAGAACCAGATATTACAGACACAACTGTCCAGGCAGTTTAAGGATTTACCAACTATTAAGCAATTAGAACGCAATATCTCAGTCATTCTCCTGAATAGCTACATGCCCTTGGAAGCTCCTAGGCCCTCAGCGTTCAACATGATTCCAGTCGGCGGACTACATATAAAGTCCGACAAGCCTTTGCCCACGAATATCAAAAGGTTCTTAGATGAAGCCAAGGATGGAGCCATCTACTTCAGTTTGGGTGAGTTTCAAAGCCTTATTCCTTGCAATGATCATGAATAACATATCTCTTTAACAGGTTCTCAAGTGCGAAGTGCAGATTTTCCACCCGAGAAGATCCAAATGTTCCTTGGGGTCTTTTCTAGCCTTAAGCAACGCGTTCTCTGGAAGTTYGAGGATGACAAATTACCTAATCTTCCTCCCAATGTGATGGTCCAGAAATGGATGCCCCAGACTGATATATTAAACCATCCGAATGTCAAGGTTTTCATATCCCATGGCGGTCTCTTCGGAACTCAGGAGGCGGTGCATTATGGTGTACCAGTGCTCGGTATGCCCATCTATGCCGATCAGTATTTGAATATCAAGAAAGGCGAAGCTGCTGGCTATGCTCTAAGCGTAAGCTACCGCACCGTTACGGAGAAAGAGCTGCGCTATTCCTTGACTGAGCTCCTGGAGAATCCCAAGTATAGGGACAACATGAAGAGAGCTTCCCTCATCTTCCGTGACCGTCCAATGAGTGCAATGGATACTGCTATATACTGGATCGATTATGTCGTTAAGCATCGTGGGGCTCCGCACTTGGTGTCCGAGGGTGTCAACCTGCCCTGGTATAAGTTCTATCTCCTAGACATCGTTGGCATTGCGTTAGCTTTAATTCTGTTGCCCATTTTGGGTTTGCTTCTTCTTTGCCCTAGTTTCAGGTCAGCGAAGAAGCCCAAGACAAAGTCCAAACAAAACTAGAATAAGATTCTCTTCATATTTTTTCTGATAACTCAAAACGATTTATTGATAAACAAATGTGTGCTATGATTATGTCAATTAGTTTGAATAAATTTATAATTTTGTTTCATTTTTGAGATATTTTAATACAAATTTGAGTGCTGTGTAAACATTTTACAAGGGACATTTTCCGTCTCGCGTTAGGGCAACAGAAAGCTGCCCAAATAATTAATAACAAAGCTTACGAGAAGCGTACAAAGACCAGCGACAGCTATCTGAACTGGGCGCTGAAATACATATTAGGGGTACTCATAATTTCCGATCTTACTGGGTCAAAAATATACTTTTCAAATATCAACGAATACAAAAGCTGGCGCGTGTAGAAGTGTGTGTGTGAGTGTGTTGTGTGTCGTGTCTGAGGTTGTGCCGAGCGCGCTCTACTGGCTGATGATCATGGACTTCTTTACCTTCTTCTCCTTCTTCTCGTGGGTGATGGTCACTTCCTCTGTGTTTAAGAAATAGTTTTAAGTTGAGATTTAGATGAGCTGAAGCTGATTTAGAATTTTATTCTATTGTTTACCTTCGAACTTCTGGGGCAACTGCTTCACAGTCTCAATAGTCTTGACCGTCTTCTCGCCGGGCTCAATGATCTCCTCCTCGTATTCCTCAATGATCTCCTCCTCGTCGGTGTCATTGGGATTGTTGCTGGGCACCGGATCGTACACAGTCTTCACTGCCTTCTTCACAATACCCTCGGCGGTGACGGTGGTGTAGTGATACTCGGTGCCGCCCTCGATCTTGATGGTCTCCACAGTGGTCACATCACCCGGGTTCTCGGAGGGCACAATCTTCTTGGTGCCCGACTCGGACTTGAGCTTCTTGGTGGTGGTCACGTTCTTGTGCTTCTCAGCATCCTTTAGGGCCTTCTTGTACTGCTTGATCTCCTCCTCGGTGAGCTCGACTTCCTCCTCCTCGTAAACGGTCTTCGAGGTGGTGATCGTCTTGCCCGACTCCAACTCCGTCGAGTAGGTGTACTCAACGCCGCCGGGCACACGCTTCGAGGCCACGGTTGTGGTATCGTTCTGCACAAAGTCGGCTGGTGGTGGTGGCGCCGATGACTTGGGCTTCTTCTTCTTCTTGCTGCTATCACCACTGCTCTGGGTGACGGACTTGATGCTCTGCTCCTGCAGCGAGTTCTTGCGCACGGTGCGATTGTTCTCGGTGATCTCAATGTTCTGGCTCACGCGACGCGTCTCCTCAATGGTGGTGTCCTCACGATAGTTGGACTGCGAGTCATTGACATTCTTCTGCACCTTCTGCACAATGCGGCGCGATGAGGACTCCGTCGAGTCGGTCGAGTCCACCGACGACTTGCGGGTGACATTCTTCTTGGTCTTGTTCACCTTGGTGGTGGTGTTCTCATTGACCTCCGTGGGCACAGAATCATAGAAGGTCTTGGTGCGCATGCTGCGCGAGCCATCCTCGTTGATGGTGGTGTAGACCTCCTCGTAGCCGCCCTCGATGGCGCGAGTCAGCATGGTGGTCTTGTCATCGATGCGTATTTCCTTGCCCAGGCGCTGCTTGATGATCTTCTTGTTGGCCTGCTCCTTGGCCAAGTCCTCCTCGCTGACGGGCTTCGGGTCCCAGAACGTCTTCACCTGGGTCTTGACCGTGCCATTCGGCTGCGGCGTCGTGGTGATCACCTCGTAGCCGCCATCGATCAGTTTATACTGGGTGCTGGCACCGGTCGCCTTGTCATACTCAATTTTGCCATCCTCAATGTCGGCGGAGGTCAGGAGCTCTTCGTGTAGGGTAAAGAAGTTGCAATTGGTGTAAATGTATGTGTGTTTCGTGTAAGTGTATTGCATATACATGGAGGCTACAATAAATTGGGTAGCGCAGCTAACGAGCTAGGTCGGTGTGTGTTTGTGTGTGGCAAGCACTTGTGGCATGTTATATATAGATATATGATGTTTGTTTGTTTAGAAAAGGTTTTCTTATGCTAATATATTGCAAATTAGTTTCATCTAAGGCGCATTTGGTAAATTATGGTTTTGTTTTGTGTTTTTGTTTGTTGTTTTAAAATTCGTTTAAGCAACATTTGTACAGCATTTTCTTGTCGTTCTACTTTTGTTATGGTTTAGGCCCTACTCTAGTTGTACTTGCTGGGCCTAGACATGCACCGGCTCCGGCAGATGTTCAGATTCGCTGTCGCCATCCAGTCGCAGGGTGAATCGGAGCAGCGCTGTCCTCGTCGCCAGTTGCGGCAGGCAGCTGTAGTGCATCAGCAGTTGCAGTAATTGTTATTTAAGCTTACGCGACGCCTTCTGCCTGCTCGGCTTGGTGGGTGCCGCATTCTGCTGCAGGATATGTTGTTGGGCCGGTTGCGGTGCTGCCGTTGTTGCTGCCGCTGCCTGGGCACGCTGTGGCTTCGTTGTTGTTGTTGTTGTTGCTGTCGATGTTGTTATTGTCGAAGTTGCTGTTGCGGCTGCCCTGGTTGATTGCTGTTCCACAGCAGCTGCTGGTGTTTTCTGTGCATTAGTTGGAAGTTTGTTAGTTGTGGCGGCTGCGGGGCTGGCTTTGACCTCTGCCTTGCCACTTGAGCCCTGATTAGTTGGCAAGCTTAAGCTGGAGCTGAAGCTGGAGCTGGGAGTGAGGTTGAGGCTGGAGCTGGAGCTGGGAGGCTCAATCTTGGCTTCATTTGTTGGCTTCTGCTGCTGCAGCAGTTTATTTGCGGTTTTAGTTAGCAATTGATTAAAGCCTAGCGTGTTATCGTTATCGTTATCGTTATCGTTATCTGCAAAAATGCGGTTAGGGTAGTTTTCATTTTAACTGGCAAAGAGAATTGCATTTAACAGAAGCCAATGATTGAAGATGAATGAAGATCGGCAATCGATGTGATTCAAGATGCAATTCAGGCAGTGCTAATGAGGCTGATTGAAGATGATGATCTAGTAGATCTCTTAATATAACCCCCACAGCTAAGGAAATAGTTCACACAACAAATGGATGGGACTTTGATGCAATCATGATGTTCTGAGAACTTAGAAATAGACGACTGAAAACAATAAATGAAAAAGAGAAATAAACAAACTTATATTGGAAAACTCACTTACAAGACGAGTTGAGAGAGGTGGCGGGGAGTGAAACACGAACAAATCTTAAAGCTAAAATAAAAATGCATGTTTCAAACGAAGAGTTTTTGTTCTAAGTGTTTTTTGTGTTCTTGAATAAATAGACAATATTTCAATGTTAATTACAACATAAAGGGTATAAAGAAAGAACTTGTTGCTTTTGCTGTGTGAAAGAGCTTGCTACACATACAAATCACTCGCACACACACGCGCACACACGTGTAACACACATCAGGCAACACTTTCTAGTTAGTTTCGAAATATAAATATAGATATATATATATTTAAGAAAACATTTTATTTTACATTTTATACACACATTTTTCATTAGAAAAAAGAAATTAAAATTGTAATTGATGAGGGGAATTTGGGATTTTGTGGGCCCTTTATGCAGATGAGCTAAAATTATAAAAAAAAAAGTGTTACGTTTCGAGAGGGCAAAACAGTCGGAAAAAACGTATCAGAATTTTCAATTAAAATACAATGAAGTGTAAAAGTTTTGTGGTTGTTGTGCCAAGGATATGTCTGGCTATGTGCGTGTGTGGGTGTGTGTGTAAATAGGTGTATCTCTCTGTGTGTGTGTGAATGCTAAATGCCAAGTGTGTCACACACACACACTCGCRCACACCAACACTTAAATGAATTTATAACGTTGAGAGCAGCAGCGTCGTTGACGAGTGTAAAAAAGTTTAATTTGAAAACTTAATTAAAATTTCTGTGCGTTTTTTTTTTGTTTTTAATATATACAAACTGTGTATATATATACATTATATATATATATAGGAGTTTTTTCTTCAATTTTATGATATGTGCTACTGCTGCTAACTAGGCTACAGACCATGCTTGAGTGTGCGTGTGTGCGCGTGTCTGTGTGTGTGTGTCTAGCAATTAAATATGGCATTTTGCATGACACTTGACATCACTTGGCTTTAATTTCTGTTTTCATTTTTTACTTTTAACTTGGCACAGTTGAGTGTGTGTGTGTGTGTGTGAGGACTTGTCTGTGGTCACACATAAATAACGATTTGTTGCTGTGGTTGTTGTTGTTTGTCTGTTCACTACATATATTAGCTTCGTATCTATGAACTACCAGTTTCCGCCTCCTTGTCCGGCTTGGCCTCCAGCGTCTGGGTTATCTTCTTCCAGATGTTGTCGAACGCATCGACGCCCGCATAATCAATCTGTCCCGACTCCCAGCACTGGCGGCGCATCAGATTCTCGTACTGCTCCTGTTCAGGTGTGCGCTGCACGCCGATGCGCAGCTGCGCCAATGCGCCGGCGAGGCCAGCCTATAACAACAAAAATGATCCAATGGCCAGTGTTAGACAATGTCCAAAATAAAAGCGAAAGTTTCCAAAACACAAAACACATAAATATAAATTAAAAAAAAAAAAACTGTTGCTGTGCGTTACATAGAGGCATGCATGAGGCATTAATAAATTAATTGCTCTTATTTCAATTTAGTCTTAATTTTAGTTTTATGTACATTTAATTAGCTCGTTTGTTATTTGTGCTTGCACAACGTGGCGTATGATTAATGCACGCTTCTTTATTGTTGTTGTTGTTGTTGTTGGTCGCTGCAAACTGCTCTATATATATGTGTGTGTGTGTGTGCCGTATGTCCCTGTGTGGCAGATTACCATGAGCCGACTACGCTCAATGAAGATGAAGCTGTACAGTGGGTGGGTGGTTGCGTGTGTATAGATGTGGCTGTATAGCTGTATAGCTGTATAGCTGTGTGTGTGCGTGTGCCCGTGCGTGTGCGGTATAAACAACAATAAAAAATACATCCAGTTGACATTTAAATGCTTTTCAGATGCAAATGCCAAAGTGCCACACCCACCCACCCACGCACCCACACGAGTCGCATGCGCTTGAACAGCTCAAGGACTACATAATGCCTTTCTGAAAGAGGCCAAAGCAAGCAATAAATCAGCAAATGCAGCAGCAGCAGCAGCAACAGCAACAGCAACAGCAGCCCGCAACATGATGATGAATGGCGATGATGAGCATGAAGATAATGAAGACAGTGAACAGTGGACAGTGGACAGTGGACACGTTGTGTGATAATGGGACATGCAAATGTGGCAGACGACAGCAGCAGCAGTAGCGGCAGCGGCGTCGGCAGCGGCAGCAACCAAAGTCAATTTAACTAGACACCAGACGACAGACAGGACGCAGGACAAGAGACGCGACGCGGCATGAGACGACATGAGACAATGCAACCCAAAGACAAGGAGAATAACAACAAATCTGAAGTGGGAACTGGATAGGTGATTGTGGTGGTTCTAGTGGTACTGGTGTTGGTGGTGGTGTTTATGTTTCTAGTGCATGTTTGTTGACATTTGCCCGTTTCATTTGTAGTTTTTACCTCAGCTTCGACGGCTTCTGCGACTTCTTCAGTTTGTATTTTGTGATTTGAGGTAGTTTGTGTCGTTGGGTGGTGGTTCGTGTGTGGTTCGTGGGTGGGTTGTTCTTGTGCTTGCGCTTGCTCATTGCTATTATTTACATCTATTGCTATGTACTCTTCATTGGCAGTGGTTGTTATTGTTTGTTGTTGTTGTTGTTGTGGTGGTGGTGGTGGCGGTGGTGGTGCTTGAGGTGCGTGTGGCGCTTGTGGTGCTTGAGGTGATGGTGATGTGGGTCTGGGACATGCATCGCTCTGACACTGGCTCCAACTTCCTCTTCTCTCGACCTGCTCATGCGGAGAGAATTGTGGTTCGGGTTCGGGCTCGGGTTCGGCTTGTGGCTCGGGCTCATTTTGTTGTCGCTCCACTTGCTCATAGTAATCTGCCCAGGGATCACGATATTCACGGACATGCGGCACATATTGCTGTGGCTGTTGCTGATGGTGTTGATGTTGATGTTGTTGTTGTTGTTGCTCTTGCTCATGATAGTAGCTGTCCATATCGTAAGTATATTCAGCATAGCTCGACGAGTGCGTTATGTTCAAGCAGAGACACTTTGGTTGTGATTTAAGCGATAGTTTGCGTTTTTATTTTGTTTGCGATAGTCAAGCGCATGATAAGAGTTTGAAATCAAAAATAAATTTAAATAACTTACAAGCGGCAAATAATAAGGCTTAGGGCTACAGGAAGTGAACAGAATTGTATAAGAGCTCGAAGCACACCATAAAGAGAAGGATACACAAGAGTACAACACTTTACAGGGTATTTCACCTAGTCTATACCCTAAGGGTTTACTGGAAATATCTAATTTAGAATAAAAGACATTTGGTTTTATAACATAGAACTTTTTACATACAATTTGGTATTTAAAAAAAAAAATAAAAAAAAATGGGTCACCCTAGAAACCGAATACGGCCCTAATAGAATATGAAAGAAACGCTCCCATAGAATAGAAATGAAAAGATTTCCTATGTTATATCAAATAGAATATATATTGAAATGATTCACTATGGAACATAATCGAAAAATAATAAAGAATAGAAAATAACTATAAAAATAAATCAAATATCGAAATAATTTCCATAAATATAAAGAAAACATTTCTTGCTTCAACTAAACTTTCAAGTATTTGTTGACCAATATTCGTTCCACTTTTCATCGGCAGACTCTATCTAGACCCTTTGCTTTGCATTATTGAAATCCCAACAGAAGCCTCTATAAATTGACAATACCAATTTGCATGCCATTTGGATCATTTC